GAAAAGTAAATAATGACATACTTAGTCAAGATGAAAAGTCGAAATAACTTTTGAAAAATTATAAAAATCATACTAAATAAAAATTATGGCATACTTAATCAAAATTTCGACAATGGCCAATTCCACTCTTACATTAAAAATATTTTATATCTTATGTTGGCTTCTACTGTGATGTGACAAACAAGATGGTTAAAGAAGAGTCTAATTAATTAGTGGTGCTTACTAAGCCTAACATCTTTGCTGTTGCTTATGTCTCATGCCATACAATTTGTGCTAAAACCAAAACATGATATCTCAAATTGTACAGCTTGTTGACGTGTGCAATAACTTTCCTAAGGATTAGACTTAGCATTTCCACTTGGCAGATAACAAAAAAAAAAAAAAAAAATCCCATAAACTTTGAAGAGGGGAGCCGAGCCATATCTATAGAGACCAGAATTTCATTCTCATTGACTTTAACTTGGGTCAGTAAGCAACCGTATAGCAACCACTCAGAACACCCTAGCAACCATATAGCAAGGTGCTAAAACGTGAAGTAAAGTTGAGTGTTGTCAGTGCAGCAGTAATACAAAAATTGATGTGCCTGGGACTCAAAAATTGAGTGTGTAAATTGTGAAGAGAAGACGACCAAGCACCGAACCCTGAGGAACACCCAATAGTGTGATTTAGATTCCACTCGCCTCAAAGAAGCCACGAATGATGTACCTGTCGAAAGCTACAGAAAAGTTCATGATACGTCCATGTATGCTGGACACTCGTTTGCTGCTCTTTCTTCAGTACTTTGTCCAATTCATCCATTAAAAAAAAAATAACAATGATAATAAATACATTAATATATACACACACATATTCAAATGTACACTGCTGTTAAAAAGTTTAGGGTAAAGATTTTAATTGTATTCAGCAAGTATGCATTAAATTGATCAAAGTTAAGAGTAAAGAAATGTACATTACAAAAGAATCCTATTTCAAATACTTTTCCTTTGAATTTTCTATTCATCAAAGAATCCTGAAAAAATTGATCTCATGGTTTCCACAGAAATATGAAGCAGCACAACTGTTTTTAACATTGATAATAATCAGAAATTTCATGAGCAGCAAATCATCATATTAGAATGATTTCTGAAGGATCATGTGACACTGAAGACTGGAGTAATGATGCTGAAAATTCAGCTTTGATCACAGGAATAAATTACATTTCAAAATATATTCCAATAGAAAACAGCTATATTACAGGTGCAGTGTGTGATTTTTAGCGGCATCTAGGTTACGAATTGCAACCAACAAAAGTTGCGGTGGCCGACAGGAAAAGATGTCATCATCTGAGACAGCAGAGAGTAGCCAGTTCAGCAATGAGGTTTCTTCACAAAGACAAATTAAGAAATTATGTTTACTTAATTATTCAGTATAACGATATGTTATTGCGAATATTATTGTTACTTGTTCATCATTGTGTCAGTGTTTTATTCGCTGACTTTAGCTTGCTTCATTGAACGAAAAACAACATGGGAACGAAACGCGTTTGTCCGCTCAGGGCTCCTGTAGAAACATGTCGGCGCATTTCAATGTAAGGGAACCGCGGTGTATGAAGATAGAAATGGCTCATTCTAAGGCCGTGTGTCCACCAAAGCGTTTTTCCACGCGCCTGGCGTATGTTTTCAATTGTTTTCAATGGGAGCACCGCGTTTTTAGAACGCCATGAGCGCAACGAGGCGCTGGACGTTTTTTTCACGCTGAAGCGCTGAGAGCTCGGCGTTTTTACTGGTCGCCGAGAGTTGAAAAATTTGATCAACTTTGGATAAAACGCAGCGCTCATCACTGTCGCTTTTACCCAGCCGTCCAATCACAGTGGAGGAGGGGCGGGACTAATACCATACCGACCAACTGTCAACAACATTCTTTCTGTACAACGACATCAACCAGCAGAGCTAACCGAACAAAATGGATGAAAAATAAATTTTCAGAATGAAACAAATTATTAATTAAAAATACATTTTTCATCCATTTTGTTCGGTTAGCTCTGCTGGTTGATGTCGTTGTACAGAAAGAATGTTGTTGACAGTTGGTCGGTGTGGTATTAGTCCCGCCCCTCCTCCACTGTGATTGGACGGGTGGGTAAAAGCGACAGTGATGAGCGCTGCGTTTTATCCAAAGTTGATAAAATTTTTCAACTCTCGGGGACCAGTAAAAAACGCCGGGCGCTCGGCGCTTCAGCGTGAAAAAAACGCTCAGCGCCTCGTTACGCTCATGGCGTTTAAAAAACGCGGCGCTCCCATTGAAAACATACGCCAGGCGCGTGGGAAAACGCTCTGGTGGACACACGGCCTAAGGTAATAAAAATATAACGGTTCATAAAGAAAGGTCTTTATACACCACTAAAAACATAGTTATGTATATGATATTGCATTTCTGTCAACAGATCCTCCTAAATATTACACAATGCACCTTTAAATTGTAATATTTCACAATATATTATTGTTTTTACTGTGTTTTATATTAATAAATGCAGCCTTTGTGAGCATATAAGACTTCTTCAAAAACATTTGAAAAATCTTCCCAACCCCAAACTTTTGAATGGCAGTGTATATACAGTACATAGATAATTAATAAAAGACACAAAACAAAACGTTTTTTTAAAATCCTGCAAAAAATAAATGTAGTCAAGTGTGTCCAAACTTTTGAATGATAGGTTAAGCCGAATGCGGTTCCGTGTTGTTTTTAACAAGCGTCCACAGTCAACATGGTTGTCAACACTATTACAATGTTCAAATGGTACCAGTTCCAAACACCACAAGACATAGACAAAAAAAAACAGCATTTAACTGAATCAGATATTTTGCTCAGGAAAAACTACTGCTGAAATACATGAAGAAAAGTAGTTCACTAAAGAGGAAAAAAGACATTGGACGGCTGTAGCTGCCGGTGCTAAATTGCCCCTTAGGGATTTATAAAATCATATTATACTGTAAACTTTGGATATGACCTATGCACCAGAAACTGTGCTTTTTATCTTCTAAAACAACAACATCTTCAACACTGTCCAAATCTGTAGCAATACTCATAAATCAAAATCATGTATTTAATACGAAGAAAATACGCAATAACCTTTTAAGCAAACATTTGTAGTTTATTGACGACATCTGGTACAAAATGTGTTCGATACCATTGTCACAACATCACATAAAAGAAAAATTAAGTTAACCAACAAAAGGTAGGTTTAAAAGTACAAGTTTAGAGTTATTTACAAAATTTATAATTGGAACCATTATAACCAGATCTCATCCAGTTCTATTATGATTCAGAGCGAATTTGCTAGGTTAAGGCATATATGTGAATTCACACTAAATTTGAATCCTTCTAACGTTTATTTTAGAAAAGAGATATAATTATATAGATATACTCATGTTAAATTGCATGTGATTCTTTATCAATGATGACTGTGATGATTTATTAACAAAAGGAAAACTGTTAGGACTATACACTGCATGTAATGTTATACATGTGTGATTTTGCCAGCTGTGATTGACAGAAAAGATCATTCCAATTACATAATTGAAAAACTAAAGAGGACAGGTAATCAATCCACTCACAACCACACCGAGGTTGGCTGATTGTGTAGGAGCACGCACAATTACCCTGCTTTTATGCTTTTAGCCTTAAAGGTGAAGTGTGTCATTTCTGAAGCACTAGTGTCACCAAATGGAATTGCAAAAATAATGACCCAACCAGTGGCAGAATCCCTGTCAGTCAAACAAATAGCCCTGTCCCGAACTCGCCACTGGTTCAGCGAATATGGTCGAGATGCTTAAAGTAATGCAATGATATTGATAGCACAGCCGAATCACAGTTTAAACTTTTTGGAGGAAATGTTGTACAAATTTAGTGATCAGCTAATAAATGTACATGTTTAACAGATGAACATTGAAAAACGCATATTGTTAGACATTTTAGTGGGATAAAAACAAACAGTTGAGTCAACCTTTTTTTCCATTGACAGCAACAGGTAAGCAGAAGTTCGCAAAAGAACTAACAAAATTGTTGTTCACAGAAAAGTCAATTGTGCCCTCTGGTGGCTGATTTCTCACATTTCCGTTTAATAAAGGGGTAAATATTTCACTTAATACTTTAATAGATTAACAGACTCACTTTCCAGGATAAATAAATTGGCAACACTTAATTTTACAGTGCCCATATAATGAATTAATAAAAAAGAAACAAGAACTATGTGCAATTACACACAGCACTAAGAAAAAAATTCCATTAAACATATGTGGTTTATTAGTATTATGCAGTAGTAAAACTAAAAATAAAAGTTCCAAAAGGGTGTTTTTGCAGTGACGCCATATAGAAGAACCATTTTTGGTTCCCCAAAGAAACTTTTTTTCTTGGTGTAAAGAGCATTTTAATAATCAGAAGAACCTTTTCCACTATAATGAAACTTTTGTGGAATGGAAAGGTTCCATGGATGTTAAAGGTTCTTTATGGAACCATCAATGCCACTAAAGAACCTTTATTTCTAGGAGAGTAATAACAAACACTGCAATATAAAGTGTGACCAACATATTTGCGTATCTGTGTGTCATTTACATCACTCGATCCTATGTCATTGTGAGTGGTCATATAAAGCAAGATTAGAAATAACCAATCAAAGCTTTTGTTTTTACATCTATGCATCAAAACGACATCAAAATGGCATTTCTAAGGCACTTATTATTGTGTAAACACAGCACTAACTAGGCTACTACTAGACAGACAGCATTTAAATTATACAATATTGCACAAAAAAACACAATATTGCATTTAAAAAACTTGATTTGAAAACTATTTCAAGTTTAGATAACTCACCTCCCAAAGTTGCTCAGCATCACTGCAATATTCAGAAAACATAATGATTTGGTATAGAACTGTTCAGCTGCAGAATTGCTGTTTCCTACTGTAATGTACATGTTTGTAAGTCATTTGACTGTATCCTCATCATTAACATTAACAAATGTTTAATTTGATGTTTGGGTCACCACATGGGTCAGATTCCACAGAAAATCATACTCTAGGGTGTTTGCAGTGACTTGCGGATGTCTAACAGCAGCGTTTGGTGGAGGGAGGAGGCTGTCGTGTCAGTTTAAAGGAGTCGTGACTGTCAGCGTCTGTGTTCTCCAGCGGAGGGATCTGTCGACCTGCACACAGATGCGAGAACATGAACAATTATGCCACTTCTAGTTAGTGTGCGCATGTTATTGCATTAGATTGAATACAGCGGCCGCTAGCATAACGAAACTCAATCTTTCAAAACACAAACTGATGTAAAATGTGACACAGAGGTGATGGAGATGACTAAGAAATATTTGCAACAAGTTAAAAATTAGCGTTGTGTCATCGTCGCGGACAGCTAGAATGAAATACTCCACTAAAGGAGTTATTTTAACTTGCATAAATGTATTAATGTGCAAAGCCCTGAAATTTGGGGTCGGTAAAAGTTTTTAATGATTGTGAAAGAAGTCTCTTAAACCTCAACAAAGCTGCATTTATTTGAAGGAAAAAAAATACAGTAAAAAATTAAATATTGTAAAATATAATTTAAAATGTTTTGCTTTGCTGCTCAAGAAACGTTTTTGATTATCATCAATGTTGAAAAAACAGTTGTTTTTGAACAGTTTATTTAAAATAGAAATATTTTATAACATTATATATGTCTTTACTCTCACTAATGCATCCTCGCTGAATAAAAATATTTTCTTAAAAAAACATTCTGCCCCTAAACCTTTTCGAACAGTAGTGTAGTTATTGAGCATTAGTGTGTTTTTATGTAAATTGCCATTTCATCATTTTATACAAGCAATACATCACTCAAAGCAATGAATTAAAGCTAGTTTGAGCATGTTTGAAAGGTTTCTGCTCCATAGTGTGTCTAACAACCCCTTCAACCCTGTAAAACACCACCTTAGAAGAAGAAATTGGGTGAACTATCCCTTTGTGTTCAACAGAAGAAAGAAACTCATACAGGTTTGGAACAACATGAGGGTGAGTAAATGATGACAGTTTTCATTTTTGGGTGAACTATCCCTTTAAAGGGGACATGTCATGAAACTGACTTTTTCCGTGTTTAAGTGCTATAATCGGGTCCCCGGTGCATCTACCAATCCAAGAAAATGTGAAAACCCAGTAACTTTGTTTTGGAAAGCCTTTCTCTCCAAGCATGTCAAAAAATAAGCAGATCAGATTTCGCTCTCCTTCTGATGTAGGAAAGGGATTTTATTATGATATTACCGCCCCTTTAACCTGCACATTTCCACCCACGGCGCCGCGATTTGGTTTGTAACCAGTTCTAATGCAATGGCAAAAGTTTGAGCAAAGCATGAACACTGTTATGTCGTTGCTGCACAACACGATTTGACCAAAAAAATAAAAATAAATAAAAATTCACAGCTGTCTTATAAAGACCTCAGGGAACTGTGTCAACTTGTGTAAAAGTTAAACATGAAGGTACACGCAAGTCGATGAGAGGAACTACATATATTTATCCACTAACCATTCAGAAACATCCAGGTGCGTCTAAAAGTTGCAACCTCTTCCTGAATCTCTCCATAAGGCTGCACTCCGCTACTGTTATTTCTGAAATTTAACTGAAATTTGCGTGTTTTGTTATTGTCGAGTATCCGAAGCTTGTGTAAAGGATAGCTGTCTTCTGAACGGAGGCGGGGAGCAGCAGCTCATTTGCATTTAAAGGGACACACACAAACACCACGTTTTTGTTCACACCCAAAAAGGGGCAAATTTGACAAGCTATAATAAATGATCCGGGGGGTGTTTTGAGCTTAAATTTCACAGACACATTCTGGGGACACCATAGATTTATATTACATCTTGTGAAAAGGCGCATAATGTGTCACCTTTAAGTGACTTTTCTATTAGTATAGTAAATCACTAACTTGAGAACGCTTCACAAAATACTGGAAAATGTGAGTAAATGAGGGAGAAGATGATACAGTGTCCAAAAAAACAGCAAATAAATTCTCTAGCAATCCCTATAGCTGTAGTGTTTCGGGTTTGCTACGGTGGGTCAGGTGTAGCGTGGACACTTGACTAGTTTTAGTGATACTTACTGATTTTCTGGAACAGCTCCTCTATGTTAACTGCATTTCTGGCACTGGTCTCCATAAATATGGCAGCAATTGACTCTGCAAAATCTTTCGCCTCTTTAGTTGGAACTTCCCTAAAAAAAAAAAAAACATTGAATATGAGTAAATAATGAGCTCGCGCGCTCACAGACATCATTGCGTGTTTGCTTAGCATGAGGGGCTCGTCCAACCAAGGGCAGGACCGAAACAAACAGCAGAGAGGTTCATTGAAAATGGACTGCCTGCAAATGTTGAATAATTATACACACGCAAAGACCGACAGTCCAGTTGATCCATTAGGATTTGACTGGATTGCAAGTTATTACATTTTGATGAAAGATTATACTTCAATTTCTTTGGAATAACATGCACATTAAGAGCAGTTTCTGTTTAAAGATTGTCAATGGGGTCAGTTTTGATTTCATGTCAACTTCAAGTACAATTATCGCACAATATACATGTATAAGACATGAAAATCTAAGCAGGAGCGGCTAGATCGGTTTTGGAAAGAAACTTCACAGAGTGTAATACGTTCTCAGAGAGAGCAAGAGGGTTTTATCAACCTGATGTCACCCAGATCGTTCTTATTTCCTGCTATGGCCACAACGATATCCTCTGGCCCATGTTCCTTCAGCTCCTTTACCCACTTCTTTAACGTCTGGAAAGAGTCCTGCAGAAACCAGACACGAAACACAAAAAACACAAGCTGTTGTTTCATAGAGCAGAGAAAAAACTGAGATACAAAAGAGATATCATTTGTAAAAATCTCTTTTCAAAATTTGTGTTTTCTCCAACAATTATAAACAAATAAACAACCAAAATGACCATTCATTGACCACCATGACCATCATTCAAAACAACCATTCCATAAAATGCACCTTAACCCTTAAAGACCTAGACCATTTTTGGAGCACCTGCACCGCCTGTTCTTTTCTTTGTTTTTCTAACCCATTATAAATCATCCAATTTTAGATTTATTTTGTCTTAGAATGGATGAATTTACCAGATTTAAAAAAAACGGCAGCATATTTTTAATGATTTTTTTTACTCAACTCAAACAAATCCTCCTGAAGTTTTTTTTTTTTTTTTTTTAGAAAGCTGTACTTGGATATTCTACATTTCCAGATGTAATTTTGACTACATGTAACAATCCCTAAGCAAGTTATAGCCATTTATTACAACATTATTATAGGCGATTTTCAGTGAAAAGCTGGTATTTTTTATTTACTGACAATTTAGACTGACTTTTAGTTCAGGAAGTAAAATAAATAGAATGATTGCAATAGAACACTGAAGCAAAATAAACTTTATATTTATATATATATATATATATATATAAACACACACACACACACATACATATACATACATGAACTACTTTCACTTTACCTCCGTGCCTCAGTTCAAATTTCCAAAGAAAGATGCTAATTGTTCGTGCAAAAGACCAAAAACTATGTTTATTGGTTGAGTAGATGATAGTTTCAACCAATCTGGGCATGGGGTGGGACTAAGCATCAACAATCATTCATGATTGGCTCAGAGGAACAAACCGCACGGGTTTCTTTGGCGAATCAATGCTGATTAAAACTCGATGAAGCAATCACATTCACTACAGAGCTTCTGAATGTCCAAACGCGATTAAGAAAAGCCGCGAATCTCCTCTTTATGGGACTTTTTAAAGCATACGGATTGGAGTAGCGGTTCAAAAGTTCTTAAACATTTAAGAACAACAGTTATTCTTTGCCGCCGGCAGCCGTATAGGTCTTTAAGGGTTAAACACAGTTAAACATGCTTTTTAAATAGAAACAACTTGGAAAGGAATTGCACAAACACACTATGACGCAACTTACGAGCTTTGTGATGTCATACACAACAACGGCTGCTGCAGAGCCTCTGTAATACATGGGAGCCAACGAATGAAACTGGAGAAAAATAAGATACACTTTGTTAATGTTGGGAAATTTCATTTTGATTACTATATTAACCTAAATGTTATGTTTTAAATAAGGCAAACATCACTTTTGCTCATACTTCAGGCAAGGTTTGCACCGGAAAACACCACTCACATTTCCTTAAAAAAAAAGCATGATGTAGTTACTGTAAACAGCATTGATGATAAATAAAGCATATTAGGATCACTTGAGCTGGTTTTGGTTCAGACAGATGCAGGAGATTTGCTGTAAAGAAGTAGATGGCAATTACGTCCGAGCGAGTTCAAAAGGGGACGCGTTTTTTCAGAGTGATCTTCTGAACAGATGCACATGCTAATAGTGAACAAAGACGTGAACACAAAGTCATGCCAGCACTTCTCAAACTCACACACACCGCACCCAATGAGTCACACCTACAGTGAACTCTGAACTATGAGTGCATGTTGGAAACTAAATTAAATTTCTCTAAATACTAACTGATGACAAAGGTCTGACCTAGAACTGTCTTGCATCCTTTAATCTTGTGTTAAAGGGATAGTTCATATCTAAAAATAATCTTCTTTCATCATTTACTCACTCACAAGATGTTCCAAACGTAAATGACAGAATTGTCTTTTTTGAGTGAACTATACACTGACAGGAATCCGTTGTGTGCATATGTGGGTGAATGAGAACAGAAGCTGAATGCTATGGATCATGGGAGTCATCAGCTGAACTATCTCAGAACTGATGGTGCTTTGTTTATTATTTTTACTATTTGTGTGGTTGTATGAAGCTTTAAGACAGAAGTAGATGCATGAATCTGCTCAAAGATCAACTAAACACAAATGTATGGAATTAGAAAGAAAAAGAGTGTCTTGGGTGAAATAAAAACAAACACATAAATGAGTAAAGCATATACATGTATGATATTGGCCATAGAGGCCGCAAAAACTAGGTTAGACACACTTTTCATAAAACATTTATACACCTAAACTCTAATTTATGAATAAAACAAACTAAACATTCTCACCCGTTCCTGCCCTGCGGTGTCCCAGATCAGAAACTTGTGAAGTTCATTTCCACATGGGACGGTCTTAGTTAAAAATGATGCACTGAAAAACAAATTATGATAAAAATATGTTAATACACACACACACAAAAAAAAGTCACTATTTGGATTTAAATAGGCAAATTCTTAAGAGTCTATGATTGGATCATTATTGCAGTGATTATGTTTCATGCACCTCTAGATGGAAATAAATGTTGTTGTGATGTTATTTCCATCAAGAGGTGCATCAATTTTTGGTCAAGATGTTGTTTTGGCAATGCAAGAGTCCAGGTGTGTGTAAAGTCTCCTCCAGCACATCCCACAGACGTCACTGAACTTAAGCTCTGGATTTAGAGGAGCCAATTCATGTGTGAAAATGATTCTTCATGCTCCATTCTTTCACAGTTTGATCCTGATGAATCTTGACATTGTCATCCTGGAATATGACCATGATGCGTCTTCATACATGGGTGTTTAAGAAATGAAAAGCTACACACTCCATCAATTAGGGTTAGAAGAACTGTTGCCAAACATATAACATGCTAGAAACATAATAATCACTGAAATAATGATCCAATCATAGACTATTTAGATTCAAACAGTGACTTTTTTTGGGCCGGACAGTGTGTATTAAATGCAATATTAAAAAACGAATAATAATCAATAAACAATAAAAAAGCAAAAATGCACAATGCCCTAAACTAATATTACACAGACATCATTCAAAGAGGAAATGACAATGTTAACCATTACTAAAATATGCACACACACACACAAAAAAAAAAAAAAATCTGAAAATATTTTGCAAGAGCTTCTGTGTAAAGTGCAAATGGTGCAAAACAGAAAAGCTAAAAATATTCTCTAGTCTAAAAGTAATGACTAACCCAACAGAGAAACCAGCTTGTGCTGATGTAAATGAAACTGAGAGGAAACAAACAAACTGACTCGAAATCAGCTGTTCAAGACAAAACAGGACTCAGTGTTGGATGCGAAGTGTTTGACTCATAAAGGAATATTTAGAAACATATTCATCCAACAGAGCAGAAAGAAGGTGGTCTCATGCTTCACTTCAATTATGTGTAAATCCCTATAAATATGATTTTTAGTAAACAGATGCCCCTACCCTATTGTTGGACTGATGTTGTGGTCAAAGTGATCTTGAACAAATCGACACACAATACTTGATTTCCCGACTCCTGTGTCCTGCGATTATGAGAAAAAGAAAAACAAACAGATATTATATAAAATATCAAATATCAAATATAGACGTCTTAATGTGTCTCACCGATAAAGTGCCTAACTTAAGTAATGTGTGACTTTAAAAAACATTTATTGCAGCACAGTAGAGTGACTTTAAAAATAACATTCAACAATACTACAGAGTAGACCACATCTGCAGAATGCATACAGTACCCTGCATGAAACTTTTCTGGATGTGTAAAATACATGGATGACCTAAATGTGCTATAATATATACAACTATAAGGCACTTGCTCAGAATACTGTACCCCATAATGCAATGCACTTAACCTTAACTTTTTGGTGTGACGAATGAACCAGAATATGAACAAATATGAGACAACACCAACTTGAATCATTATTTTATCTGATTGCTAGTAGGCTAAATTATATTTAGTGTGTCATAGTGTACTAATACCAACTGCTTACTGTATACTAGTACAGGAGTATACTGTAATACTGCCTACTATTTTTCTTTTCAAGTATGTAAAACAGTATGTCACTAAAAGTTTCAAACTTTAGTAAGCTACATTGCTGTCACGTTACCTTATTACATCGATTCAGTGTTAACTTTAGGTTAATTTTAAGTTAAGTCATAAAGATGTTAAAAATCAGTTACAACTAGGCCATCTGGGAATTCCATGTAAACTGAAAATCTGCAGTAGTGTACGATAGTGTACTCTTCCAAAGCAATGTATCCTGTTTTACATTGTGTTTTTTAAACAGTGTGCAACATGCACTATATACTGCAGAGTACGCTAGAATTCCATTTCGAACACTGCCATTCTCCAGAAGGCGGTGACGTCATGGCCGCAAACATTCCAAAAGAATGAATTTATGCGAAAACACCTGGAAAACACTTCCAGCTTTGGCTCCATAAAAAAACAAACAAATAAGTTCTTTGTGTTAGCATTTCACGAAGCTTTGAGTGACTGAAAGAGGACATTCGTGACGGTAAAACATCTCAACGCGTTCATTATGAGAAAAGGAAGCAGGAATCATCACAGTTCCAGTCAGTCTGTTGTGTGTCTGTCGATGGAACCTGAAGCCGCACAGACAGAGGAATCTCAACACTCACCCCTAGCAGACAAACTTTCAATTCCCTGATGGCCATTGTAAAGCACGTTATGGCAGCTGAAGCATTATTCTAACAGTCTTCGGTCTTGTTCTGTCGACTCTCATCTATCACGGCCACAGCACAGACTGTTCATCTGTAAAATACAAACTCTGACCATCACCCTCCCAGATCTAACGGAAACCGACTGGACAAATTCGGCTAAGCTGTCACTAACATCACGTGATGACATAAACCCCGCCTTAAAGAGGCACTGCTAAACGATTCATAACAACAACTATTCTAATTCTAATAACAATAAAACCGAGTGTGTTCTGAATAATGATACATTATTACTAATTGGCATATAGTTTTATCATTCTAAAGTAGTCATTTAATTATTGAAGCTTTCTCTGCATGGTAAAGTACACTGATAGTCTGTGCAATCAAACAAAACCCAGTTAAAACCTGTCTCTAGACAGAGAAATCCTTCATCTCTAAGCTTCTTGTGTTAAATTAGACCACATACCACTCTTTATACAAAATTGTGTTAATAAATCACTAAACACACTATACAGCATCATCGTGGCCTTCATCGCAGGAGCAACAGGTCAATCCATGATATTCCGCATTCCAGTGAAAAACTTTCAAACTTAAGTTACTGTCCAACCTATAATTTTATTTAGATGGCAGCTTTCAGTTCGCAATGATCATGAGCTACAAAAGCTTTGTCTATAATATGAAAAACTATGATTTCCAAAAGTAGATGAGCAGGTACGTATCTCTTTGATATAAATTCTAGCAGAGAGAGACATTAAGGAAAAAAGAGCTTTTTTACATCTGATATAATTGACAATCAGTCTGTCAATAGCTTTGATTAGAATTATACAGTATTGAAATGCATCTCACTTACTTGACATCATGACAAGAAAGAAAGAGGGGAAAACAAACAAAGAAAACAAAAATGAGGGTGGAAATGGGTTATATCTGAAAAAGAATAATAATAATACACAATCATCCAGTAGTACGTTAGCATTCAACAAGACAAAAATAACAATAATAAAGTGAAATTGACAGAATATCAGTATTAAAAAGAGAAGAATTGGTAACAATCTAGTGCAAGTTTCCACTAAAACATCAATCAGTGTGTCAGAACATCTGTAACAACTGTGCCAAAACTTCAGGAGCGGCTGGGTTGATCTCACAAAAACTGAGTGTTCATATTTCACCCCAAATCAAAAGAAAAATAAGCCCTTTTGCAGAAAGAAAAATAAAAGCCTTTTTTAATACTGTCTAATTGATTAATCACAATTAATCGCATCTAACATAAAAGTGTTATAATATATGTGTGTAAACATTATATAAATAAACTTTTATGTCAGATGCGATTAATCGATTTGACAGCACTACTTTTTTCCATTTCATGACCATTACTGTCAAAAAAAGCTTAATTTTATTTATGCAAAATATTTTTTTGATATTGCGGTTAAACATTTCTTTTTGAGATTCACCGCTTCACCTACACTTATTAAAACATCCCATACTACCCCTCGAAATTCATCATTAATCAAAAATATTCTTGTGCTTCATGAAATTTGTCTTAAAAAAACAGAGTGACATAACGTGAAAGCACGGAAACGAACAAAAATGTTACCAATTCCACAACAAACGTTCTAGAAGTGCACATCTGCACACTTTAGTGCAGTTACAGGCCTATATAGGTTGACTATTAAATAGTGAGATTTAGAATAAACGTTCAAAACCGATTCCTTTGAATATCTTAATAGGTAAAAATACAATCTGGTTGCATTACAATGTCTTCAGAGTAATTCTTCTGTGCGGCAGCACACAGTCACCTATGGCACAGTGGTTTCAGAACACACACGACTTCATTTTCACTGATCGAGGTTCTAGACCTCGACCTACAACAGGAGAACTGGCAGCCCACTAGGATTTCTGCACCTTTTCCCCCCCCCCACATCGGTAATAGACATCCAGGATACTTCTCGGTGCACTTTCTCATTTGAACTAAACTGCATAAATAAAGTGAAGCATTTGTTAATAATAACCAATAAAGTAAATCTGCATGTTAAGCCAGGCGTCTTAAAAGATGATTGCAGTTTTTGCTCTGAATGTCACATGAATACAGAAGATACGGATGCTCGTCGCCGGTGGTTTGGAGATTTCACACAGGCTGCAATTACATTTGCTGCATCATAACAACCTATTATGCTCAATATTTCATGGCTTAGTTTCTTGAAATGCTGAGGTGAATAATAAGAAAAGATGTCCAGAGGTTACATTTAAACCCAAATTGAAACGGAAAAATATTTTTGCATGAAGAAAAAATGCAAACTAGTGTAAGGACCATAAAGATTATTATTATTATTTTATTTTTTTGCATTACAGCATTATTTTCACGACTATTAAGAACAATTTGCCACTAAATTACTATAAAATTTCTTACATTTAAATCGGCATAAAGGCAGTACAACATATAATGCTGTGATGTCTACTTTCTAATGTAAATAATATATCATAATATTTTTTTCTTGATGAGCGTAATGAGATTGATGTTTTATTTGCATTAAGGTAATGAGAATTATGGGGAAATGTGCTTAATTGCCATGCTAATAATTTTATAATGCATATATATATATATATTTTTTTTAATAGTCCTAAAAAAAGCTTAATTTTCTTCATGCAAAATATAATTAAAAAATGTTTTGGGGGGGTCGTGGGGTGCAAGGTGAGCTGGACAGATAATATTCACTTTTTGAAACAAAAACCCCTAATACTCTTAACTGTTTGGAAAAAAAAAATGAAGAGAATCACCCTGTCCATTTAGGCACGGGTCAAAGGGCAGATCTAATAAATCCGAGCACTCACAAAGATCTGATTGTGCTGCTGCAACTTCACATACAAACTTAAACGTGTCAAAAGAATCCAATTTCAGTCTATTGTAGATAATGACCAATCAGAAATGTTTCCAACACTCGTCTCTCTTTTGACCTACTGACCTACGTTTCACAGATTGAGTCCGATCGCATCTTCCCTCTGTTATCTGCTGTCCAGTTTTCTGCCAGTGTAATGAACATCTCACTTCACCTTGTTGACCCTCGACCCAAGATGTCACAGTCATGTGATTAGCAAACACAAGTACAGCTGAAGTGTTTCATGATGGTCATTTGGTTTACAGGTTGGCCTTGTCTTTGCTGGGCGATGGCTTCATAGCATCTTTTCCAGGCTTCCCATTGGTTGAGGCGGCAGCTGCAGCAGCAGTGGATTCTATGGCGACTGCTGCGACACGTTTGATTGGTTCATCCGCTTTAGATCGTTCCTCTGGGCTGGGCTGGGAGGGCGGAGCCTGTTCGGCGGAGGGCGGGGCTATGAGCTCCTGCTGTAGCTTGTGACTCTGAAGGAGGCGGAGCTGAACACGCAGTTCCAATATGGCCTCCTGTTCCTCATGGATGGCCTGATTCAGATGAGTGTTTTTATTCTGGAGAGAAAATCAAAAACAGAGCTCTCATCATGAGACTGATACATAGAACTCGATGAATAGTCTTGCTTTCTTCCCTATTGTGACAAGTGAAATGGCTTCTCAAACAAGAAAAACTGCTGATTTTCGCTATGGGGAATTGATTGGATCATTGTTGTTTGCTAATTGCTGCGAGCTCATATGAGTGACAGGTTGCTGGAGGCATTTTTGTCCCGCCCTCACACTGATGCACTCAGAGATGTCACTGTGAGAGATGTCATTGTGAGGGAGAGGGGAAGTTAATGCTTTTGATTAAAGATTATAAGGGCATATGAACGAAAAATAATGATGAACACGGATAAATAATTTAATACTGCAATATTCCATAAAGAAAATTGATTTTGTGACACAGATGTGTTGACGTCACAGTAGGGGGAAATTTGGAACAGCTTATTTTCAGGCTTATTTGCAAACCCCACCCATGACTGGTCATGAGCCACATACATTCTGCCATGATTATATAATGTCAGCGCCACATAAACATTAAAAATGTTTTTTTTTTTAGATGTACTAAGAGTATCCATAGACTCCCGGCATTCGAGCCACTGAGGACACATTGGATGAAGTCATTTATGAAGCAAATGTGCCGAAGAAACTAGGTAAAGTCTTATGTGTTTGTTGAAATCATTTTACACCTGACTGCTTCGCAAACAAGGGTCAGTTCAATGCTGGATCTGCACAAAAGTTGATTCTGAAAGATGGGTCAATACTGACATCCTACTACAGTTCCCACATCTGTACAACAATTTATGACGGAACATGCTAATCAATAAGTTGAATAAATTTAACTTCACAACAACTACATAAATGCATCAACTGAACATTCAGAAACATCCTGTTGTTTTCTAAAAGTTGCAAGTCCTTCCTGAGTCTCTCCATCTGTGTTTGACTATGTAGCTGAACACCGCTACTGACAATTTCTGACATTTTGGCTGCGTGAGATTCTCCAGTTTTGTTGTTTCTGGAGTATCCGAAGCACGAGCTGTAAAGGCTCTTCCCTCTTCTGGAAAGGGGGCGGAAAGCAGCAGCTCATTTGCATTTAAAGGTACATACACGAAAACGGTGCGTTTTTGCTCACACCCAAATAGGGACAAATTGAAGATGATATGATATAATAAATGATCTGTGGGGCATTTTGAGCTGAAACTTTACAGACACATTATGGGGAGACCTGAGACTTATATGCCATCTTGTAAAAATGGGCATAATATGTCCCCATTAAAGTTAGCAGCAGTAACTAAAGAGGACAGAGGCACAGAGCTCAGCAAATGGTCAATTAAATTAGAATTTTTACTAATCTTGTGTTCCTTCTTCTCACCTCTAGTTCTTCGTTCTGTTTCTGTAGGTCTTCCAGAATCATCTGCAGTTCCTCTTCATCTTCACTCTCGCTCTCGCTATCTGATGAATACTCCTCCGTTTCACTGCGGCCCTGCTGACGGCTGTGTGCGTGTCGTTTCAAGCAGAAAATGGAAGATAAAGAGTAATGATGACCCTTGCATGTTTCAGATCTGCTGTACAGCAGCCATAACTAATAAAACCAAAACGTTGCTTCCCACAAAAATCAAATGAATACAAACAAGCATAATAATTGGCAACAGATTTCCCTGTGGGTGAACTCTCACCTTTGTATATCTGCGATCTCAGCACGCAATCGTTCAATTTCTTCTTTCTCTGTGGCGATTTGCCGCCGCAGAACCTGCTCCAGAGATATCAGTTCCTCCTGCTCTGTTAGGATCTCATTCTCCTGCAGGGGGCGGCAGAGAAACACATCAGACATCACACAGACAGAATCTTTGGCTGCATCCCAATTCACATACTACCCTTTGTAAAGTATGTATGTAGCAGAACAGTAGGGTAGAATTTGGAATGAAAAAAAGGCCCTTTCGTCACATGCTGCTTGCACGCAGTCATCTGTACATTTTCTGTGACTTACTGTAGGTTCATATGTTACAAACGGCTGTATAATACGCAAAGCAACCATTTCTTGCTTATCATTGACCAGCTGATTTGTTTATCTGCCAGAGAGCTGTTTGAGTGTCGAACCAGCATCTAAAACGCAGTGAAAGTAGCAGTAGCGTCTGAGCAGGTGGTCTCACCTGAGCCAGGAGAAGATTAATGACTTCCTCCTCGTTCTCAGACATCTCCTCCTTTGATACGTCCTCTTTAGACAGGCTGGCGATTTCCTGTGCGATTTTAGTCTCGCACTCCTGCAGATTCAGAAGAACAGAGAAGAAATGAGACATCAGGACGTTTCTGGAAGTGCGGCATGATAAATAACATGGTGTAAATTAAAGTTTATAGTTGGAAATATTTGTTTTTAGTGGCCAGTTTCTTAAATAAATGGAACTACAATAAAGTTTGTTGCGAGTTAGTTGTGATCTGTTCATTCATATACACTAACATTCAAAAGTTTGGGGTCGGTAAGATTTGTTAATGTTTTTGAAAGTCTTTTATGCTCACCAAGACTCACATTTATGTGATCAAAAATACAGAAAAAAAACATGAATTTTCAGCATCATTACTCCAGTCTTCAGTGTCACATGATCCTTCAGAAATCATTCTAATATACTGATTTGCTGCTCAAGAAACATTTCTGATTATTATCAATGTTGAAAACGGTTGTGCTGCTTCATATTTTTAGGGAAACCCTGATCTTTGATTTATAGAAAGTTCAAAAGAACAGCATTTAATTGAAATAGAAACCTTTGGTAACATTATAAATGTCTCTAGTGTCACTTTTGATCAATTTAATGCATCTTTGCTGAATAAAAGTATTCATATAATTTCTTTAAAAAATGATAATAGAAACCTCTACTGATCCCAAACTTTTGAATGGTAGTGTCGTATAGTGCATTACTCTCAATCTTTCTCTTTCCTTTTGAACATTATTTTTATTACTGATTTTCAACTAAACGTATTAAAGAAATAACAGAAAAAAAAGAAAAAAAACAGAACACGGGCTATACATTGTTTACATTACAGTACTCAATCCATTTCTCCCAATAAATTATACATAGATCAAATTTAAAGGTCAAAATAAAAGTCAGTTCTTCCATGTAGTATATTTCCTTAACATTTTCTACCCATTCTCTCTCTTGCCATCTCTATTTGGGTTTATAACCTTTCAAACTCTCATTTTATCTAAAACATCAAAAATATTCTTTCTGTAAGGATGCAAATCTAGTTTTCTGAAAACTCATCAGTTGTATTTGATGCTTCTCTTGCTCAGACAAACTCATTGTGAGATTCTCTGTGTTCTGATGTGCAGTAAAGCAGGGGTCAGGGGTCAGAGTGTCGAGCTCTCACCTGTCTCTTGGCCTCGCGGAGTTTGCGTTTCAGCGCGGTGACGATCCGCTGCACCTCCCAGAGTCTCTCCTCCTTGGACAGATCCTTCACACCGGCCTGCAGATCTCTGTGCAGACGGTTCAAGAGGAACTCCTGCAGAAAGACACGTGGACAGATGCGAAGACCCGTAAGAACAAACACAAAATCACTAGTGATGCACTGACATTTTTTTTTTTTTACTGAAATACTGAAACCGAAATTAAAGTTTTCCTTTAGCTGAAACTCAAAACACAATTTATTTTATAATCAATAGGTCTCATTCATGAAACATTCGTAAATATACGAGTAAATATGAGAGAGATTTGCGCGTAAAGAGACCTTCCCGAAAACTCATCTCCTGATTCATAAATACTTCATAAACGTCAGATGTGATAGTGAAATGTGTGTGTGTGTGTTAATGAATTCCAATAAGTCGTAAATGGGACGCGCGTGCACGCTCATTCTCAATTACCATAAATCCCGCCCATTAAATCCGACTGACAACTATATATGGGCATCATATTATGACACCAAACGAAGGATTTCAACATGCCTTTTCAAAAGCGAACGAAAAAGAAAAATTTCTCAGATGCAGAAATTGAAGTTTTATTATCAAAAGTTCGTTCAAAACACCACATTTTATTTTCAAGCGTAGGCTACATAGTGGCGTATCAGGTCCTAAAAAAAAGGAAGCTTGGCAGCATATTACAGATGCAGTTAATGGAGTTTCATCTGTTAATCACAGTCCCAGAAGTAAAAAGAAAAACCATATGTAATTACTATATATAATATTTTTTCAAAATGCTGTGTAAATATGTACCCGATTGAGGTGAAGCAAAACGTTCGGATGTTAAACTCACTATTTACGCGTGGCTGGGAGCAGTTGTAGATTTCTTTCGTACCAACTAACATTTGGAAAATACAAACATTTTAATGAATCCGAAAATTTACGCCAGAACCACCTTACACAAAAATTCGTTCTGCTCGTGTTTCATGAATGAGACCCAATGATCACAAACATTTAAATGGCACACAAGACTAGAATTAAGTTTCTACTCCAATTTGGATTTTAAACAGGCAAGCGCTTGTGGAAAGGAGACAGCGGCGCGGGCGCGCTTTCCACGTGTTTTTAGCATAGGGAGGTGATACGATGCGCTGCACCATGAAACCCATTTATTTAATGCGCATTTGTGTGGATCACGTGATTATTATTTTTTCAACAGACAACAATGGTTCAGCGCAGAGCAGTCTTTGTAAAAAAAACAAACACCTTTATTCGCACACGTGCACCACAGTTCGCACACATCTATTTTTAATCGCAAATGCGAGTGTAATGCTCGCACTGTCGAGCCCTGCAGTGGCTGTAATAAAAACAGATTTGTTCAAACACACATTAAATAAGACATCACTAACAGGATAAGTAAACATTTAATATGCGCCATCGGAAAGGAGCCAATTAAACGTCACTGTTTCTGCTGTAGGTAATCACTACAAATTAGATCTCTTTAAAATCTCAGTTGTCCTACAGCCAATTTTTCTCATGCTCTGTTTCCTGTTTCTCTTTCCTCCTGAGAAAAACACATCAGTAATCTCTCTACTAGTTTCAGATGAGATCTCAACAATGTTTTAAATTGTGTTCGGCAATCTGCAATCAAAAGTTAGAGATCTCAATATGAACTCGAACATTTCTCCCAAGACCAAATGATCCGAACTGTTTTGTACATTTTACAGCTCTAAACTCAAACTGTATGAAAACGATCAACTCACTTGTGTCTATTCTTATTTCTCCTACAGAATTTTAGGAAAAACATCTGACACAAAGTTGATACCTTTAACAAGCATAACTTAAAAAAATTACGTTTACGTTACGTTTCCAGAGATATGAAAGAGCAACCTCTGAGCGATAAAATGTAGTTTTAGATTCACACACTGAAGCGTCACATCAGGGCTGTTTACGCTGTTCCAACTGTTTTTGTTTCCAGTCTCTCCACACTCACAGAGTTTGGATTCATCTCCTGTTTTGAATATCACGTGCATTTCCCTGTTCACAAAGGACACATTTGCCTTTGACACATTCAAACTATTCATTTTATGTAAAGCATAAAACAAAACTTCTTCCATGATACAGGTTCCTCTTCCAGGTAGAAGATACAATGTGAATCTATTTTTGAATGAAATTAAGCACATTGCTTTTAGTAATAAATGTCTTTATGCATAAATTAAAAGCAATACAACAAATACTACGGTGTGTTTTTTTTTATACAGATGTATTTCCTTTTTTTTCCCCTATTTTTCCTTCATCCAAAACAATTTCTTTCTTTCTTTCTTTCTCTCTCTCTCTCTTTTTTGGGGTGAACTGTGACCTGTTGAAGGGTTATGCGAGATTCACACGCTTGAAGGCATTTTTAAACTACATTGTAAAGAGCAAAGTAACCAAACAGTTGATGGTAGCCATTGACTTCAATAGAATGGGGAAAAAAGAAATGCTATGGAAGTCAATGACAACCGCCAACTACTTGGTTACCCACAATCTTCAAAATATCATCATCTTCTGTGTTTAGCAGAAGAAAGAAATTCTTATGGTTTGGATTGGAACAACTTGAGGATTTTTTTTAAGACTTTTGATGGGAATATATATATTTTATATAAATCTAAATCAGTCACAAATATAACGTCCTGTGTGTTTCAATCCTGTGAATCACCTGTCTGCGGATCTCCTCTTTAATGCTCTTCTGGGTCTCAGGTAGAGTCGGCATGGTGGCCATATTGGACCAGCGCAGTGGATGGACGACCGGCTTCAGAGGCACATCACCGAACAGCTCACGGACGTGCGTGAAAAACACGTACAGCACGCGGTTCCCGATCTAGAAACCAGAGAGTGTTGTGTTATACAGGAATATGCAGTCATAGTGAACCTTAAAAAAGGTTTATGGGAGTTAAATTTATGGTGTTACTGCCCAATAATGTTCCACCCCCCTCTTCTCCACATAATTTGCAGTCACTTCTCAAATAAAACTGACCCCAAACAAAGACCTCATTAGCAGTATGAGGGCACCTCCATCCTACATGTCTCCTGAGGGACTGTAAAGTAGGACAACCTTCAGTTTGAGAGCAGAAACACATCAAAAACTCTCTACTGAAACAGTGAGTGTATATCATGATTTTATTATACTAAACTTCCCATCAGAGAATCTTTACTGTGTGCAGTATACATCCATACAGGGTACAGAAGTAGCTTTTTGGCACACCTGTACATAATGTATTGAAAATTGACTAAATATTACATATGGAAAAATAATCTGTATTATTTATGATATTTAATCTGAGAGGAAAGATTATTGAGTAATATGAGAAACTTGAAATGTTGAATTTAAAATAATAATAAGTCTTGCTAATCAATCAAATCAAATTAGAATAAATGTTCATCCAATATTTTGTAAATGTTTAACATATAAATGAGTGAAATATTTTTAACTTTTTAATATATATGTATATATATTATATATATATATAATTTATTAATAATGTATCATAAATTGTATATAATGTGTTGAATATTTACAAAATATCGCAAATGGAAAAAGGTCCAAAACTGTTCATGATATTTACTCGGCTAAAACGAACTGATAACAAATGTTCTTCTATAGACCTAAAAAGTATTTATGTATTTTAATTTATGTTAATATATATATTTATTTACATACACACACATATTATATATACACTTACCGGCCACTTTATTAGGTACACCTGTCCAACTGCTCGTTAACACTTAATTTCTAAGCAGCCAATCACATGGCGGCAACTCAGTGCATTTAGGCATGTAGACATGGTCAAGACAATCTCCTGCAGTTCAAACCGAGCATCAGTATGGGGAAGAAAGGTGATTTGAGTGACTTTGAACGTGGCATGATTGTTGGTGCCAGAAGGGCTGGTCTGAGTATTTCAGAAACTGCTAATCTACTGGGATTTTCACGCACAACCATCTCTAGGGTTTACAGAGAATGGTCCGAAAAAGAAAAAACATCCAGTGAGCGGCAGTTCTGTGGGCGGAAATGCCTTGTTGATGCCAGAGGTCAGAGGAGAATGGCCAGACTGGTTCGAGCTGATAGAAGGGCAACAGTGACTGAAATAACCACTCGTTACAACCGAGGTATGCAGCAAAGCATTTGTGAAGCCACAACACGCACAACCTTGAGGCGGATGGGCTAGAACAGCAGAAGACTCCACCGGGTACCACTTATCTCCACTACAAATAGGAAAAAGAGGCTACAATTTGCAAGAGCTCACCAAAATTGAACAGTTGAAGACTGGAAAAATGTTGCCTGGTCTGATGAGTCTCGATTTCTGTTGAGACATTCAGATGTTAGAGTCAGAATTTGGCGTAAACAGAATGAGAACATGGAACCATCATGCCTTGTTACCACTGTGCAGGCTGGTGGTGGTGGTGTAATGGTGTGGGGGATGTTTTCCTGGCACACTTTAGGCCCCTTAGTGCCAATTGGGCATCGTTTAAATGCCACGGCCTACCTGAGCATTGTTTCTGACCATGTCCATCCCTTTATGGCCACCATGTACCCATCCTCTGATGGCTACTTCCACCATGTCACAAAGCTCTAATCATTTCAAATTGGTTTCTTGAACATGACAATGAGTTCACTGTACTAAAATGGCCTCCACAGTCACCAGATCTCAACCCAATAGAGCATCTTTGGGATGTGGTGGAACGGGAGATTCGCATCATGGATGTGCAGCCGACAAATCTGCGGCAACTGTGTGATGCCATCATGTCAATATGGACCAAACTCCCTGAGGAATGCTTCCAGCACCTTGTTGAATCTATGCCACGAAGAATTGAGGCAGTTCTGAAGGCAAAAGGGGGTCCAACCCGTTACTAGCATGGGGTACCTAATAAAGTGGCCGGTGAGTGTATATATATATATATATATATACACTCACCGGCCACTTTATTAGGTACCCCATGCTAGTAACGGGTTGGACCCCCTTTGATGGTTCAATGTTCTCATTCTGTTTACGCCAAATTCTGACTCTAACATCTGAATGTCTCAACAGAAATCGAGACTCATCAGACCAGGCAACATTTTTCCAGTCTTCAACTGTTCAATTTTGGTGAGCTCTTGCAAATTGTAGCCTCTTTTTCCTATTTGTAGTGGAGATGAGTGGTACCCGGTGGAGTCTTCTGCTGTTGTAGCCCATCCGCCTCAAGGTTGTGCGTGTTGTGGCTTCACAAATGCTTTGCTGCATACCTCGGTTGTAACGAGTGGTTATTTCAGTCACTGTTGCCCTTCTATCAGCTCGAACCAGTCTGGCCATTCTCCTCTGACCTCTGGCATCAACAAGGCATTTCCGCCCACAGAACTGCCGCTCACTGGATGTTTTTTCTTTTTCGGACCATTCTCTGTAAACCCTAGAGATGGTTGTGCGTGAAAATCCCAGTAGATTAGCAGTTTCTGAAATACTCAGACCAGCCCTTCTGGCACCAACAATCATGCCACGTTCAAAGTCACTCAAATCAACTTTCTTCCCCATACTGATGCTCGGTTTGAACTGCAGGAGATTGTCTTGACCATGTCTACATGCCTAAATGCACTGAGTTGCCGCCATGTGATTGGCTGCTTAGAAATTAAGTGTTAACGAGCAGTTGGACAGGTGTACCTAATAAAGTGGCCGGTGAGTGTATATGTATATATTTATATATATACACACACACACATATCATTTTTGATATATTGTCAGATGGACATGCCACTACAACCGTAGTATGATCCATATCACATCTAAAACTGATGATCAAAACATCACCTGTATATTCTAAGCTCACCTGTACAGTGGGATTGAGTACAATAGAGATGTTCTGGATGTTCATCTTGGTGTCGATTTCGCGGGCGATGACGTGGTCCATGTGAGTGATGAGCCAGGCCAGGAGGAGTCTGCTCCCCGAGGGCACTTCCCCCAGGAGCCTCTGAAACTCCTGCAGTTTCTCTGCCTCGCTGGGCCGCCCGCAGGCCTCGTCGAAGCGCAGGACCAGTTCTTTACCCAGCAGGTTATCGGGCAGCTCTCGCAGGTACTGCTTCAACAGGCTGGCCACTGTGTGTGGATCATACTCCTCCAGACATGGACACTCCTCACGGTCGTATGCCGCTTTCAGCTCGTCAACCTTAGACTTCATACCTATAGAAACGACACCAGAGAGAGTTAACACGAGATTCAAAAGCTGCAAGGCGCATTTGATTTGGACTTTTTATGTCTTTGAAAAGAGCGGATAAAAGAAAGCTGCTGAGAGACACATGTAGTCACTGTCCATTCAGATATTCGTAACACATTTCAGATATTAGTTTTCAAACATTCGCTTCGTTTCAGCAGTCTAGCTTTGCATTAAACATCATAAATGGAAAGTGGAATAATACTCTTTTATCACAAGAGGACCAAAAAGAGATCCAAGCCCACTTATGAGGTAGAGATGATTTAAATGTTTGTACAAGTTAAAATTATTGTCTGAAATAACTTACTTCAAGGTTTAGTTCATCCAAAAATGAAAATTATCCCATATTTTACTCACCCTCAAGCCATCCTAGGTCATCTTTCAGCCAAACACAATCTGAGTTATAATAAAAAATATCCTGGATCTTCCCAGCTTCATAACTGGAGTGAATGGTACGAAAGATTTTGAAGCCCAAAAAAGCGCCACAAAAGTAATCCATACGGCTCCAGAGGGTTAATAAAGGATTTCTGAAGTAAAGCGATGTGTTTTTGTAAGAAAAATATCCATATTTATAACTTCACAAACTATAATCACTGGCTTCCAGCAACAGCCGTACTCGAGTCTAGTTCCGGCGGAAGAGTGATCTCTGAACCGACGTATGATGGATTACTTTTATGATGGATGGAGGCGCTCTTTTCAAATCTATTGTACCATTCACTCCCATTATAAAGCTTGGAAGAGCCTGGATATTTTTTTATATAACTCCAATTGTGTTTGGCTGAAAGAATATGGGATAATTTAATTTTTTTGGGTGAACTAACCCTTTAACCCTTGTGTTATGTTGCGGGTCAATTTGACCCGTTTAGATTTTCTAGTTGTTGGAAATACTGGTTAACCTTTGTTTTTTTTTCTTGATATTTTGTGACTTTTTCTCATTTATCATGATGAACATGCATGCAAAGTTTCAACATGCTGATGTGTTTTGACATATACAAACAAAATTACTGTTACGTTCGTGATGTTCGCGGGTCAATTTGACCCTCATAGGCAGATATTCAAAAGCAACTGTACAGACACAAAATAAAAACATTTATTTTCTGTATGTCAGGGCACTTCAACTCCAGTTCTAACGTGCAAGTGTATCTAAAAGTGATCTAACCCTAACCAAACACACTTGAAAAAGCTAAAATCACAGTGTTTAGAATTATTTGCAAATTACAGATGAAAATCTTTGTCAGACACAGATAGTAAAATAAGCTCTCATTTCAATATTCAAGATATCTAAAATACCTAGCTTTTAACCAAAACTTTTATGTAGGATTTTCAAAGGCAGCTTTACAGAGCCAAAAAATTAATAAAAAACATTTATTTGATGTATGTTTTTGTTATGTTTGGTTTCTCACTTCCCTGTGAATGAATAATGAAACTAGGGAAATAGGTCTTAGGAAACTAGGGAAAGTTAACTTAGGAAAATTAAAAATTTTCATTATACAGCAAAATTTTATTGTTCAGTTACGATGTTCAAAGCATTAAATGTAAAAAAAAAATGTACAGTATATGCAAAAAAAGTCAGTATACTGTTTATTTTCCAATTTTGTCAAAAATTTAACATTTTTTAACAATACCAAAAACATTTTTATAAATCATATTTTCAGATATAATGTTTTTGTAATGTTTGACAAATGTTGATATTAAAAGTTTACAGTTTGGATCTAAATCTTTGTTGTTTTTCATAGTGTGATTTTTGAGGAATTGTATTGAATCCAATTAGGGTCAATTTGACCCGCTCCATAAAGGGTGTACACAGGTTAAAGTTGAAAACAACCCAGAATATTCCTTTAAATAGATATAAACAAACATAAAATTTCAGTTCACAGAAAGTAGAAAAGGGTCATACCAGAGACACGATAGATGCCTTCACATTTCATGCCGTAGCTCTCGATGTAGTCCACACACTCTCTGAAGACGGCCGGGAGCTGTATACCATCGTACAGCGCTGTTCTCCTCACCGCTTCCACTAAAGGCGCTCCGAAGATCGGCCGCAACGTCGTCGTCGTCGTCTCCGTGATCACCGGTTCAGGCTCTGTGCTTGGCTTTTTCTTCTTTTTCTTCTCTTTCCACTGTTTCACCACGTCCGCTGCTGTCAGGTCTTTGGACTTCTTGTCTTTGGCCTTCTCCTCTTTAGGTCCCTTCTCCTTCACTTTGAAATCCTTTTCTTTCTTCTTGGAGAAACTGGGCTTCTTGAAGACGTGGATGCCCTTGGAGCGCTTCATCTTAGACGGGCTCTCGGCCTCATCGGCAGAGCTGTCCTCCTGGAAAGCGGCGTATCCCTCAGCTACAGGGAGAGGAGATAAAAGGGTGAGGAGATTAAAAAAAAAGAGATAAAGAGACTAAATGAGAAGAGAAGAGATCACATCTTTCTTCCAAGACCTGATGCTGAACAAAAAAACGTCCTATTAACTGCTGTGCAAAATTTACTGTCCCACCGTCTGTCTCTCTCAAGGTTGGGCGAGACTGAAATGAGCAGAACGAAATGAGACCGAGAGAAAGGCACAGAAAAGCACTGCTCTAAAGAGGTCAGCTTACAATTTAGCAATATCCCCCTGTGCCAGCTCTTTTTTTAGTGATCCATTTCCTCGTCCTGACACCGACTTCACCCTGAGCAGAACAGTGTTCGGCTGCTCACTAACACCCCATCAGCAGGTCCCCGTGACGCCCCTCCTCAGCCACTCTAACACACCTACAGGGTGTGTCCTTAAAGCTCCATCACTTCCTGCTTGTGTGCAATAGGCTGCTGTAAGCCAGCTAAATATAGTGGCAGGAGAATAATGAATTCACTCTGAAGCGGCACAGAAACTGGAACATTTGCACATCAAGGGCAATGATCTAGATCTCGATATACATTTATAATATGTATCTCAATATTTTCCAACCTTTTGATGACATTTGATACATACAGTTCCAGTCAAAAGTTTGGGGTTGGTGAGATTTTTTTTTATGTTTTTGAAAGAAGCCTCTTTTGCTCACTAAGGCAGCAATTATTTGATTAAAATTACTGTTTAAATTACAATTTAAAATGTGTTTTCTATTTTAATATATTTTAAAATGTAACTTATTCCTGTGATCAAAGCTGAATTTTCAGCATCATTACTCCAGTCTTCAGTGTCACATGATCCTTCAGAAATCATTCTAATATGCTGATTTGCTGCTCAAGAAACATTTATGATTATTGTAGTAAAAATCATCAAGTAGTTGTGCTGCTTAATATTTTTGTGGAAATTGTGATTTCATTCCTTTTTTTAGGATTTTTCTTTGATATTTGTTTATTTAAAATAGAAAACATTATAACTGTCTTTTCTGACATTTATCAATTTAATGCATCCTTGAGGAAAAAAAAAAAACGTACTTTTGAACGGTAGCGTAGGTCAAATAGAGGAACCATAATTTCAACCAAAAATGTATTGCTAAAATAATCCAGGCATGTTTCCCACAACCATTTAAACACAAGCAGGAAATCTAATTCCGCATTTTCATTTAAATTAATATTTAATATGCACATACTGTAGTTTTAAAAATTAGCACACAGGGTGTGATTTGTGCTAATTAACATTAACAGTAAAATGTGCTAATTGTGATGACGCAAATGAATAACTGAATCGTAATATTGATTTGATTTACTGAAACGACAGTTTGAACTGATTCACAGAAATCAGTATCTAACAGAATTATAGATAAAAGTATCTAAAAAGCATGTTTGCTACTGAAATTCAAAATCATAAATGAAAGACAAGAAATGATTGTTACAATCTAATGACTTGAAAAGCAAAGATCTACAGTGGCTCCAAAAGGCATTCAGATACTTAAAATGTCTGAATATGATTGCACTAAATAATAAAATACTAAAATCAAGTGCAGCTCAAATGCTGCAAGATTCAAAAACAAACAAACAACTTTTTGTTAAATATTTTGCATGAGAAGTGTGCCTGTGCTTTCTCTATGCCCTTTCTTTTTATGCAATAACATTCAAGTATTTATTTAGATCAGTGCATCAGTATGAGGCATTGTTGAGTGTAAATATGAGTGTGTGTGTGTGTTTATCTTACTGCGTTTCTCCTTCTTCTTAAACTTGTTCTTCTTCTTGTTGTGCTCCTTCTCGTCATCGGACACCACGTCGGGCGGCTCATGGTGGTGTCCGTCGTGAGGGGGCGAGGGGTCGCCCGTACGGTACAGACCTGGGAACTTCGTAGGGCTGATCTCTTCCGAGCTCGGGGTACGCGCCACACTCCCGGGATGCTCCGCCCTCCTCTGCTCCACAGGACTGCTACTGGGTGGCAGGAAACACTCGGTCATCTCTGCGCTGCCCTGCTATTGGCTCCTTGCAGCACGATGCCCTGGGATTGGCTGTTCGCTCTGATGACGCATCACCTCTCCATGTCACCTGACCAGGGATAAATAGACAAGTTGTTTCAGATTCTCATACTTTAAATACAATTGCCATTTTTATTGACACTCTTTCTGATGCACAATGGTGAATCTGAAATGTAAGAACATCTACATTGTGTTTGTTGAAACACATTTTGAGTACATCATGGCAGAAGTCTGTTTTGTAAACAGCAGTTTTCTTAAATGAGATATTTAGATAACCTTCAAATAAATGATCAGGATGTCTCTCAAAACCCATTCTGTAAACTGTGTGTGACTATGTGTGACTAAATGTTCAAATCTGCCAATGTAACTTTTTAACACTGAAAACACCGCTCTCTAGTGACCATAATGTTTTTTGCATCTTTATTGCTATTAGAGGACCAGTGAATTCTGTCACTAAAATAAAAAAGGGGTTTATTGGTCGAGATGCACAGACTTCAAACCACCAATGTTGGTCACCAGACAGTTAACGGCACCCATTGACTTACATGGTATTTTTTTCCAACTATGGAAGTCAATGGCTATACCGTCCATTGTTTGATTACCAACATTCTTTAAAATATCTCCTTTTGTGTTCAACAGAATAAAGAAACTCATGAAGGTTTGGAACGACATGAGGATGGGTAAATGATGAGAAATTGATCATTTTTGGGTGAACTATGCTTTTAAAAAACTCTCTCAGTCTCACATTGTGAACCCTAAAAGTATAGGACCAAATACTATCACTTTGAGCTACAAACTTTGTCATCTATAATTATTATCTTATTTGATTAAGTGTACAACCATATTTTGTTAGGCCCACATCCAAAACAGCCCATTTGTATTCATAACTACCAACAAACGCTCAAACATTACCTGCAAGATTAGATCTTATTAAAACCAAAAAAGGGGGTGGAAAAATAAGATTTCCAGTTGAAAAAGTGCAATCATATCAGAAGCGGAGCAAGTTATTACATATCAATATAAAAAAATTACGAGGACCAAAGTTTTTTATCTTTAAACATGCATTTGTGAATTATCTCAAATGAATAATCTCAATTACACCTAAAACGTGTATTTAGATAGTAAATAGGGGAACTTTTGAGTTTGTTGACTTTAAAAGAGTTCAGATCAATCATAAAAGTCTCTAAATCAAGATAACATACATTTATATTAATAATATTCATATGCTGGTAGTAGACACATTTTTTTTTATCTGTATGAGGTAGTTTTTTTGTTCATTTAAACAATTCTGCTGTGTGACAACTGAGTACAAAAATGAAGATGATTTCATTCATTGAAGGTATGCGTGTAAAAATGAGTGTGTGTGAAAGAGTATAAATATATGTGAGAGAGAGAGAGAGAGAGAGAGAGAGAGAGAGAGAGAGAGAGAGAGAGAGAGAGAGAGAGAGAGAGAGAGAGAGAGAGAGAGAGAGAGAGAGAACTAATTTTATCTGCGGGCCCTGCCCTTAATAAATCAAAAAAAAAAAAAAAAGCACCGTAAGAAATCACCTTACATTCAAAACAGAGGTACACGGCTTTAACCCACACAATCATGGTGATTTAAAGGCATTTCGACAGATTATGAAGAAAAGATTTTCTCCACTAAAGCACAGAATAAATCTTTCCTGACAGCAGCTGTTTCGTTCAATTGAACACAAGCAAGACCATATGACAGATTATTTTGAAAAACAATGAATGAAACGCACTTAATAGCTGCATTTCCACCGAGAAAAAGTCTAATAACAACAATGATTATAACTAAATCTTCAAAATTACATAAAGGGAGATTCATAGCTTAGCATGTCTGCTAACGAACCTCGGATTTAATGGACAAAGTCGACATTTAAAATTATTAAAAGATTAATACGCCGTATAAACGATAAAATAAGCCATAATGCTGATCAAATATTAGAGAATAATTATAAACATATTAAGAAAAATAATCCGTCCACAAACCTGCTATGATCAATGTAACAGCTGCACTTCCTGTAGCTTGTTTACGTCCCATCTGACACGCGCGCATGCGCAGTTGCAGCCTTCTTGATTATGGGAGCCCTAGTTTGAGTTCTCTCTGCTTGCTTGCCACCTGCTAAAATTATTGTAACTTTTTAGTTTTAATCTAATGTTTGCATAATTTTGAGGACATTATTTCTCGTTTATATTACAAACAATAAAAATAAGATGTAAGGGTTTTGTTCTACATATATTATGTAGCCTATATGTTTCTCCATATTATTTTCAGTGTTTTCTATGCGCCAATAAGCCAGCAGATGAAGCTGTTGAGCAGCAGACCAACTGTGCAGTATTACAGCTCAACGATAGGTGAGTTCACTCATGTCTATGATGTGGGGAAAATATTTTCCTTAGTAACAGAAAAACAGCCCTTCCTCTGGTTAGATCATTTTAGGGATTGCCATGAAATCACATTCATGATTCAGACATTATCGGTTTGTTTATGGTTGTGAGAAACATTATCTGAGAAGCCAGATAAGAGTTTGGACATATTTTACAGCATCCATCATAAAACTGCAGTAGAACATGCTTAACTGAACGAGTCACTGGTTACAGTCAAAACCAGTGTTATTTAATATAATTGAGATACTAATAGAATTTGTATTCATATTTTGAAATAGTTTTCGTTTTTATATTTTCCATTTTAATTTTAGTTAAAGTTTTAGAAATGTTCTTGTGTTTTCATCATTATTGTAATAATATATATTTTTATATGTATGTAGTTTTTATTATTTTTTTATTTCAGTTTTAGTTATTTTAGTACATCAAAACTAAAAAATATTGCTTTGGCAACTAACTTTCCATTCAAGTATTTAATTGTTGATTGTTGTTTGCTTGAAATTGTTTTTACATCATCTTACTTGACCTTTGAACCTCCTTCCATCTTGATTAAACCACATGACAATAAAAACCCTTTAAGAGCATCTGGTAGTAATGTTCGGTGTGTTTCTTCACTGCATTTGGCCAAACATTGCTTTCAAAAAATTCATGACAGCTGATGTGTATTATAACAAATACCTGGAAATACATGAACGTTATTGTTTCATTTTTTAAAACTTTCTGCTTCTTTCTTCATTGTATTTATTTAATGCCTCAGCCACACACACACACACACACACACACACACACACACACACACACACACACACACACACACACACACACACACACACACACACACACACACACACACACACACACACACACACACACACACACACACACACACACACACACACACAGCACAGCACAACTGTTTTCAACATTGTTAATAAGAGCAGCAAATCATCATTCAGCTTTGATCACAGGAATAAATTACATTCTGTTAAAAGATATTCAAACAGAAAACAGAAATAGAAAACTGTTTTAGCTTACATTAGATGATTAGAACATTATATAGTGTGTTTAGTAACCCGTTTTCCAGGTTTTAACTATCCTTATCCTTCATTTTGATGGTCAAATGTCCCCACATTTGACCATCAAAATGAAGTCAAACCCATGACACACACACACACACACAAACACATACAATCACACAAATAGATAGATAAAATCTAAATCATTTTCTCTTCTTTTTAATCTCAATTCCTCTTTTGTGCATCCAGGATTTGGAGCAACGAGTTAATTAGTTTTCTTGACCTTTTTTTTGTGGTAGATTCTATCTGAACCATTTCTGTGGAAGAATTGTTCTGGTGTGAGACTTTAACTTAACTTGCAGACGTCCCACCTTTACCATTCACACACACGGGAGTCAATAATATCAAAGATCCTCCTAATACCTTCAGTTAAAGGTAAAAGCAAAGCCTCGCTGTCTGTTTGACAGAGCCAGGATGACCTTTGCCCTGACTGTGAGTGGTTTGCTGAAAGAGCCCGTCGGGCTTGTTTGCAGGCATGTCTGGGAAGCATAAAGAAATGTATTCTGACCCAGTGTTATTTTAGTTTTTATTATAGTTTTATTGATATTTTGAATTGTTGTTAAACTTAATTTGTAATATTTTCCATTTTCAGGTTAATGTTTAGTTATGTCATGTCGGTTTATTTATTTATTTTAAATATTGCTATTTAGGTTTCATTTAGATTTTTTTAATTTGTGGGTTTTTTTTTTATTTCCAGTTTAATAATTTTAGTGCTTCGACTAAAACTTATTTCAGTTCATTGCCAAGGCAACATCTCTAGTTTAAGTTTGTCAACTAATAATTATATTTGAATTCAAATAGCTTTATTTTAATTAACAGAAATGTTTTAATAGTTTTAGTTTTAGATTTGGTTTACGATAATAACCATGTTCTGACCTTTAAATAAACTTATCTTGTTTATTTGCTTGTTTGTTTGTTTTTAGGTAAACAGGCTGACAATAAACATCATGGGATAATGTTTACCCCAAAGACTTGTAAATTCATTTCTGTAAATGCTTTTTCTTTGTTTTTACAACCTGAGTTGAAATCATTTTCACATAGAGCTCCAGCTGTATTGAATATTCATTTCTGTCCAACAACTATATGAATATTGTTTAGTTCATAACTGTTTTTGCTAATGTAAACGTGGTTAAAAGTGGTTCTGAGGCTGTTTGCACAATACTTTTGCACAATAAACAATACATTTTGTCAAGCCAACCTAAATAATCGCTGGAGTTTGTGCATGAGTTATGTAACACTTTCTTCTTTTTTTTCTGAGTATGGGCAGTTCCCAATATTAGCCTTATCCTCTGTGATAACAGCTGGGACAAATACAGGATAAGCGTGCACTCATCGCACAGTTCAGACTTATTTAGCCTACGGTTTCGGTTTATCTGTGTGCCAAACCCCAGGCTAAGAGTCACGGAGACTGAATGCACATCTCTGCACATGCAGCATGTCTATATTGCAGATTTCAGTATGCTAATACACACTGCAAGTCTACAAACATTTGACCTCGTGGAATACAAAAGAGAGATCACTTCTAATGCAATGCAATGAAAATGCAAAGAGATCAAATAGAGGTTTTCTCCCAAAAGTCTCTCACATCTCCTCTACAGCCGTGGTTGGCAGTGACATACATTTTGTTTTGCAAAGATTCCTCTAGTTTATTGTACAGACTGATCAGATGCATTTTAAACAATTGCAAAAAAAAAAAAAGCTTCATTTAACTTTATCGCAAAAAAAACACACATAATTTTATCACTGTTTTTGGCCCTGCCACATAATGACCAGCTATAAAAATGATATGATCAATAAGTTATGACAACATATGTTTAAAAAAAAATTAAAAAAATTATTTAACAGTAAGACATACAAACCAAGATAGTACAGTAGCGAACAATCTAGCAATTCCATAATTCCAGAAGTGAAATAAAAGTGTGTTAATGTATAGGTGTGTGTGGGTGGGTGTGAGTGTGTGTATGTGTGTGTATGCGTAAACAAAGTAACCATTTATTATTTAGTACCATCGTCATTACCATCACCACTACCACTCCGCCAATATTGTTTTAGTCAATTTTTATTTTTGTTTCCAAATGAAAACGAATCGGTTACCTAACGTAACCTCGGTTCTCTCTAGAAGAGGGAACGAGTATTGCGTAAGCTAGCTTACGCTGCGGGAAAGATTCATCTTTGCTGAGATATTGAAGCCAAAAAATTATTTCATAATTTGTATCCATTGACAACACAGTTCCTCTGCGGCAGACCTAGAGCAGGCTAGCTAGCAGCTCATTGGTTCGCTTAGAGAGAACTGCTTAAGCCTATGGGAGAGCGGGGCTGAACCCGCTTCCAATGAGAGGCGCCCGCGCGCTCATTGCGTCATGGCCCGCCAGAATGGGCGTGGCTATGGTGTATATAACAGTCTCTCCCAGGCTTATATGTTGATTTATTTCAGCGTGAAGCGAAACGCTAGTAGCGCAAGCACGGCCGGGAACGCAATACTCGTTCCCTCTTCTAGAGAGAACCGAGGTTACGTTAGGTAACCGATTCGTTCTCTTACGAGAGGTTCTCTTGTATTGCGTAAGCTAGCTTACGCTGCGGGAACACCTGGTCAACGCCGTGCGCGCTATGAATCCACTCATGAATCCCAGGGTGATACCGGGGGATTTTTAACGTGGAGTGAATGTATTATGAGGCCGGCAGAGCGGGCACATGAAGTGTATACATAAGCATCTATGAGGCCGGCAGAGCGGGCACATGAAGTGTATAAGCATTTAAGGAGAGCACAAGGGGCGAACCGGTTGTGTGAGGGACTCCCAGTAATGCAGCTTCTTAGGGAGCTGGTCGTTAGACAGCTAGTAATTTTGCCTGCAAGGCGGGAACTTCCAAATTGTAAAATCTGACAAAAGTGGACGGGGAGGCCCATCCCGCGGCCACACAAGTGTCATGAATGGAAATTCCACAGGACCATGCCCACGATGAGGCCATGCCTCTAGTGGAGTGCGCCCTGATGCCCAGAGGGCAGGGCAGGCATTTAGATGCGTAAGCAGAGGCGTTAGCGTCTACTATCCATCTAGACAGTGTCTGTTTAGAGGCGGCCAGACCTTTGGTGCGCCCCCCAAACGACACGAAAAGCTGCTCAGCGCGTCTGAACGCGGCAGCGCGCGTAGTGTACAATCTCAGAGCCCGCACCGGGCAGAGGAGATTGGCGTCGCGCTCACTATCGGATGAAGGCAGAGCCGATAGGGAAATAATCTGAGCCCTGAACGGGGTACCAATCGCCTTCGGGACATAGCCATGTCTAGGTTTGAGAATGACAACAGAATCATTCGGACCAAACTCGAGACACGCGGCGCTGGATGAGAGCGCGTGAAGATCCCCCACGCGTTTTACTGAGGACAGAGCCGTCAGAAAAACGGTTTTGAGCGAGAGGTATTTTAGGTCCACAGACTCGAGCGGTTCGAACGGGGGTGCTTTCATAGCTTCGAGAACTATAGAAAGATCCCAGATAGGAACCGAAGGGGGGCGCGGAGGGTTCATCCTCTTAGCTCCCCTGAGGAAGCGGATGACTAACTCGTCTTTGCCCAGGGACTGAGCGCGTCGGGGTTCAGAGAACGCCGCG